TTTTTTGTATTTTTAGTAGAGACGGGGTTTCACCATGTTGACCAGGTTGGTCTCGATCTCTCGACCTCGTGATCCACCCGCCTCAGCCTCCCAAAGTGCTGGGATTACAGGCTTGAGCCACCGCGCCCGGCCTTTTTTTTTTTTTTTTTTAATAGAGACAGGATCTCCCTATGTTGCCCATGCTGGCCTGAAATTCCTGGCCTCAAGTAATCCTCCCACGTTGGCCAAGTGCTGAGATTACAGGCATGAGCCACTGCACCCAGCCCAATATCCTTCTTTATCATAGGTAATTTTCTTTGCTATTAAGTCTACTTTGCTTGTTTGATGTTAATATAGCCACTCCAGCTGTCTTTTGATAAGTGTTTGCATGACATATCTTTTTTTTTTTTTTTTTTTTTTTTTGAGACAGGGTCTCACTCTGTCACCAAGCTGGAGTGCAGTGGCATGATCATGGCTCACTGCAGCGTTGAACTCTAGCTCAAGCCATCCTCCCACCTAAGCCTTCCGAGTAAGGGACTATAGGTGTGTGGCACCACACCTGGATAATTTTTTAAAATTTTTTATAGAGGTGAGGTCTCACCACGTTGCTCACGCAGGTCTGTAACTCCTGGGCTCAAGTGATCCTTCCACCTTCGTCTCCCAAAATGTCGCATGAGCCAGTGTGCCTGGCCTGTCTAGGTTTTCTTTTGTTACCTATGCCTTTGATATGATATCCAAGAAATCGTTGTTAAATTCAATCTTGTGAAGCTTTTGTCCTGTTGTCTTCTACAAGTTGTATAGGTTTAGGTCTTACATGTAGGTCTTTTTCTTTTTCTTTTTTTTTATTTTTGAGATGGAGCCTTAACTCTGTTGCCCAGGCTTGAGTGCAGTGGTGAGATCTCGGCTCACTGCAACCTCTGCCTCCCAGTTTCAAGCTATTCTGCTTCAGCCTCCCGAGTATCTGGGACTACAGTTGCCCGCCATCATGCCTAGCTAAATTTTGTATTTTAAGTAGAGACAGAGTTTCACCATATTGGCCAGGCTGGTCTCAAACTGCTGACCTTGTGATCCACCCCCCTCAGCCTCCCAAAGTGCTGGGATTACAGGCGTGAGCCACCATACCTGGCCTGATCCAATTTTTATATATGGTATTAGATAAGAGTCTGTCCTTGTTCTTTTGCATGTGGAGATCCAGTTTTCTCAACAACATTTGTTAAAAAGACTGTCTTTTCCCCATTGAATGGTGTTGGCACCCTTGTCAAAAATCACTTGACCACTTATGCCGAGGTTTATTTCTGGGCTGTCAGTTCTGTTCCAATGGTCTGCGTGTCTGTCTTCCTGCCAGTACCACATTGCTGTGATTGCTGCAGCTTACAGGAAGTTGTGAAATCAGGAAGTGTGAGTCCTGAGTCTGTTTTTCTTTTTCAACATGGTGTTGGCTATTTGGGGTCCCTGGAGATTCCATATGAATTTCAGCCTGTGTTTTTCTATTTCTGCAAAAAAAAAAAAAAAAAAAAAAGTCATTGAGATTTTGCTTCAGATTACATATGAATCTTTAGCTCACATTTGGGAGTATTGACATCTTTACAATGTTTCAATATCTTGTCTTAATATCCTGTGAAAGCGTTGTATTTTTCCTTAATTATATCTCCTTTAATTTCTTTCCGAGATGTTTTGTAGTTTTCTTTGTACAAGTCTTTCACCTCCCTGGTTAAAATTCCTAAGTATTTTATTTTTAATGCTAAGCGGAATTGTTTTTATAACTTCCTTTTCTAATTGTTCAGTGTTAGTATGTAAAAATGCAAATGATTTTTGTGTGCTGACTTTGTATCTTGCTGCTTTGCTGATTATCTTACTGGAATTACTTTGTTTGTAATCTTTAGGGTTTTCTACTTAGAATATTAAATCTGTGATTTGAGATAATTTCACTTCTTCCTTTCCAGTTTGGAGATATATATATATATATATATACACACACACACACACACACACACACACACACACATATATTTTTTTTTCCTAATTGCTCTGGCTAGAACTTCCTGTACTGGTTAAATAGTAGTGGTAAAAGTGAACATTTTACCACTTTTTACCAGTTTTTCAGTCATTCACTGTTGAGTATGATGTTCAGTGATCAATGTACATTTCTCTCTTTTTTTTTTTTTTTTTTTTTTTTTTTTTGAGACAGAGTCTTGCTCTGTCACCCAGGCTGGAGTGCAGTGGCAATATCTTGGATCACTGCAATCTCCACCTCTGGGTTCAAGTGATTCTCTTGCCTCAGCCTCCCAAGTAGCTGGGACTACAGGTGCCTGCCACCATGTCTGGCTAATTTTTGTATTTTTAGTAGAGACAGGGTTTCACCATATTGTCCAGGCTGGTCTCAAACTCCTGACCTTGTGATCCACCTGCCTTGGCCTCCCAAACTGCTGGGATTACAGTCATGAGCCACCGAACCCAGCCCTCTTTTTTTTCTTTAAAAAATTTTAGTAAGCCTTCTCAGGTTCAACAATGTAGATTTTTCAAATATGGCTTTGATTATGTTGAGGTAGTTCCCTTGTACTTTTAATTTGTTGAATGTTTTCATTATGAGAGAGTGGTGGTACAGTTTGTGGAATGCCTTTTCTGTAGCAATTGAGATGATGTATTTTTCCCATTATTCCATTACTGTATTGTGTTAATGTTGATTTTTGTAGGTTGGACCATCGATGCCTTCCAGGAATAAATCTCACTTGTTTGTGGTATATAATCCTTCTGAAATGCTGCTGAATTCAGTTTACTGGTATTTGTAGAGGATTTTTGCATCAGTGTGCATAAGGAATATTAGTCTGTAGTTTTCATTTATTGAATGACTGGTTATGATATGAGGGCAATACTGGCCTCATAGAAGGAATTAGGAAGTATTTCTTATTCTCCACTTTTTGGAAAAAGTTTTGAAAAATGTTGGTATTAGTTGTTCTTTCAATGTTTGTTAGACTTAATCAGTAAAGACTTCAGGTCCAGGACGTTTCTCTGTCAGGAGTTTTGTTATTACTGATTCAACCGCTTATGAGTTACAGGTCTATTCAGATTTTCTGTTTCTTTGTGATTTAGTCTTGGTAGGGGTTTTTTAATTTGTTTGTTTTTAAAACAGAGTGTCACTCTATTGCCCAGGCTGGAGTGCAGTAGCACAATCTTGGCTTATTGCAACCTCTGCTTCCCAGGTTCAAGTGATTCTCCTGATTCAGCCTTTGGAGTAGCTGGGACTACATGTAGGCACTTGCCACCACATCCAGCTAATTTTTTTTTTTTTTTTTTTTTTTTATGGAGATGAGGTTTTACCATGTTGGCCAGGCTGGTCTCAAAATCCTGACCTCAGGTGTTCTGCCTACCTTGGCCTCCCAAAGTACAGGCTTACAGGAGTGAGCCACCATACCCAACCCTTGGTGGGTTTTTTTGTTTTGTTTTGTTTTGTTTCTTTGTTTTGTTTTGTTTTTAGGGTTGTTTCTTTTGAGACAGGGTGTCACTTTGTCACCCAGTTTGGAGTGCAGTTGCGTGATCACAGTTCATTGCAGCCTCAACCTCCCAGGTTCAAAGTAATCCCCCCACCTCAGCACCCCAAGTAGCTGCGACTACAGGCACACATCACCACACCTGGCTAATTTTTGTATTTTTTTGTAGAGACAGCTTTTCTTGTTGCCCAGGCGGGTCTTCAACTTCTAAGCTCAGGCAATCTGCCTACCTTAGTCTCCTAAAGTCTGGGATTATATGCATATACCACGGCTCCTGGCTATTTCTCCCTTCAGTACTGTCAGTTTTGCTTTATATATTTTGATGGTCTGTTATTAGGTGCAATGTGTTTATAATTTTATCTTCTTGCTGTATTGAACTTTTATATAATGTGCTTTTTTTATCTCTTATAACTGGTTTTGATTTAAACTCTCTTTTTTTTTTTGGGGGGGGGGACGGAGTTTCGCTCTTGTTACCCAGGCTGGAGTGCAATGGCGCGATCTCGGCTCACCGCAACCTCCGCCTCCCAGGCTCAGGCAATTCTCCTGCCTCAGCCTCCTGAGTAGCTGGGATTACAGGCACACACCACCATGCCCAGCTAATTTTTTGTATTTTTAGTAGAGACGGGATTTCACCATGTTGACCAGATGGTCTCGATCTCTTGACTTCGTGATCCACCTGCCTTGGCCTCCCAACGTGCTGGGATTACAGGCTTGAGCCACCACGCCCGGCCCTTAAACTCTCTTTTGTCTGATAATAATAGAGCCTTGGTTTCTTTCAGTTACTGTTTGCATGTAATATGTTTTGCCATTCTTTGATTTTCAATCTATTTGTGTCTTTGGATCTAAAGTGATTCTCAGCCAAGCGAGGTGGCTCATGCCTGTAATCCCAACACTTTGGGAGGCTGAGGCGGGTGGATCACAAGGTCAGGAGATTGAGACTATCCTGGCCAACATAGTGAAACCCCGTCTCTACTAAAAACACAAAAATTAGCTGGGCGTGTTGGCATGTGCCTATAATCCCAGTTTCTTGGGAGGCTCAGGCGAGAGAATCGCTTGAACCTGGGAGGCGGAGGTTGCAGTGAGCCAAGATCGCACCATTGCACTCCAGCCTGGTGGCAGAGCGAGACTTACTTTCATAAATAAATAAATAATAAATAAAGTGATTCTTTTCTGTAGTCCCAGTTACTTGGGAGGCTGAGGCAGGAGGATTGCTTGAGCCCCGGACTACGGATCTAGCCTGAGCAATATAGAGAGACCCTGTCTCTCTAGACAATAAAAGTAAAAATAAAGTAAGTTTCTTACAGATGGCATATAATTGGGTAATGTATTTTTATCCATTCTGGTCATCTCTACTGATGGGAGAGTTTAATCTATTTACACTTAGTTACTGATCAGGAAAGATGTCATTTTGCTGTTTCTTTTCTGTATACCTTATAGCATTTTATTTATTTTTTTAGAGATGGAGTCTTGCTCTGTTACCCAGGCTGGAGGCAGTGGTGCAATCTTGGCTTACTGCAACCTCCACCTCCCGAGTTCAAGTGATTCTCCTGCCTCAGCTTTCCAGGTAACTGACACTACAGGCGTGTGCCGCCACACCTGGCTAATTTTTTGTGTGTGTGTGTGTGTGTGAGACAGAGTCTTCCTCTGTTACCCAGGCTGGAGTACACTGGCTCCAGTGTACTCAGATCTCAACTTACTGCAACCTCCGCCTCCGAGGTTCAAGCAATTCTCCTGCCTCAGCTTCCGGAGTGGCTGGGACTACAGGCACCCGCCACCATGCCTAGCTAATTTTTGTATTTTTAGTAAAGACGGTATTTTACCATATTGGTCAGGTTGTTCTCAAGCTCCTGACTTCAGGTGATCCACCCACCTTGGCCTCCCGAAGTACTGAGATTACAGGCATGAACCACCTCACCCCACCACCTTACAGGACTTTTTTTTTTTTTTGAGACAGAGTCTCCCTCTGTTGCCCAGGCTGGAGTGCAGTGGCATGATCTTGGCTTGCTGCAGCCTCCGCGTCCCAGGTTCAAGTGATCCTCTTGCCTCAGGCCCCCAAGTAGCTGCTATTACAGGCATGGGCCACCATGCCTGACTAATTATTGTATTTTTAGTAAAGATGGGTTTTCGCCATGTTGGCGAGGTTGGTCTCAGTGACTTCAGGTGATCCACCTGCCTTAGCCTCCCTAAGGGCTGAGATTACTGGCATGTGCCACTGCGCCAGGCCGTGGATTTTAAAATCTCTCATCTGCATTGTGGTCTTCTTTTGTGTCTACGTGGAGTTTTGTGGAGATTTTTTTGTAGTAACATGTTTAATTCTTTTATCATTCTGTTTTGTGTAATACTCTAATTTGAATTTATAGCAGCGAAACTTCAGTAACATGCAAAAATTATGCTTCCTTTCGGAGCCATTTGTTCATGAAAAATAAAAATAAAAAATTATGCTTCTTCATAGCTTCATCTCCACCCCTTTCAGTTGTCACAAAATTACACTGTTACATACTATGTGCCCCAAAACATAAACTCATAATTGTTTTAAATGCATTATTCTGCTAAGGTGTGTGTGTTACGGACACGAATGTGATCATTCTTGGTGAGTGTTCCGCGTGCTCTTTAGAGGAGTGTGTATCCTGGTGGTGTTGGATGAAGTACTCTGTAAATGTCAATTCTGTCCTGTTGCTCAGTGGTGCTGCTGAGTTCCATTACGTCCTTACTGACTTCTGCCTGCTGGACCTGTCCATTTTGATAGACGAGTGTTGAAGTTTCCAACTAAATAGTGAATTCATCTGCTTTTCCTTGCAGTTCTCAATTTTGGCCTTCAGGATTTTGATGCTCTGTTGTTAGGCATATACACATAAGGATTGTAATCTCATTTTAGAGAAATAGTCCTTTATGTTTTTGTAATATCCTTTTTCTATTTCTGATAATTTTCCTTGTTCTGAAGTCTGCTCTGCCTGAAATAAATATAGCTACTGGAACTTTCTTTTTCTTTTCTTTTTTTTTTTTTTTGAGATGGAGTTTCGCTCTTGTTACCCAGGCTAGAGTGCAATGGCATGATCTCGGCTCACCACAACCTCCGCCTCCTGGGCTCAGGCAATTCTCCTGCCTCAGCCTCCTGAGTAGCTGGGATTACAGGCACGCGCCACCACGCCCAGCTAATTTTTTGTATTTTTTTTTAGTAGAGACGGGGGTTTCACCATGTTGACCAGGATGGTCTCGATCTCTTGACCTTGTGATTCACCTGCCTCGGCCTCCCAAAGTGCTGGGATTACAGGCTTGAGCCACCGCGCCCGGCCTTCTTTTCTTTTTTTGAGATGGAGTCTTGCCCTGTTGCCCAGGCTGGAGTGCAGTGACGAGATCTTAGCTTTATCACAAGCTCCACCTCCTGGGTTCAAGCGATTCTCCTGCCTCAGCCTTCTGAATAGCTGGCATTATAGGTGTGTGTCATCATGCCCAGCTAATTTTTGTATTTTTAGTAGAGACTGGGTTTCACCATGTTGGTCAGGCTGGTCTCAAACTCCTGACCTCGTGATCTGCCCACCTCAGCCTCCCAGAGTGCTGGGATTACAGCCACCACACCCAGCCGAACTTTCTTTTGACTAGTGTTAGCCTGGTATGTCTTTATCTATCTCTTTAATTTTTTTTATTTTTATTTATTTATTTATTTTTTGAGATGGAATTTTGCTCTGTTGCCCAGGCTGGAGTTCAGTGGCGTGATCTCGACTCACTGCAACCTCCACCTCCTGGGTTCAAGCGATTCTCATGCCTCAGCCTCCTGAGTAGCTTGGATTACAGGCACCCACCACCATGCCTGGCTGATTTTTGTATTTTTAGTAGAGACAGGACTTCACCACATTCCCCAGGCTGGTCTCAAACTCCTGTCCTCAGATCAGCCGCCCGCCTCAGCCTCCCAAAGTGCTGGATTACATGTGTGAGCCACTGCGTCCGGCCTCATCTCTTTAATTTTAATCTAACTGTATCTTTATATTTGAAGTGAATTTCTCGGGGTTTTTTTTTAGATGAAGTTTTGCTCTTATTGCCCAGGCTGGAGTGCAATGGTTCAGTCTCAGCTCACCGCAACCTCCGCCTCCCGTGTTCAAGCGATTCTGCTGCCTCAGCTTCCCGAGTAGCTGGGATTACAGGCATGCACCACCACATCCAGCTAATTTGGCATTTTTAGTAGAGGCATGGTTTTTCGATGTTGGTCAGGCTGGTCTTGGACTCCCGACCTCAGATAATCCTCCTGTCTCAGCCTCCCAAAGTACTGAGATTATAGGCATGAGCCACAGCACTTGGCCAAGTCTTCTTTTAATGTTTTTTGCAAGGTTTGTTATTGATGACAGATTCCCTTAATTTTTGTTCTTCTGAGAAAAAGTCTTTATTTCTCTTCATTTTTGACCCAGCATATACTTGGGTCTTATTTTTTGATATATCCTAACAGTTTCTGTTTCTTAGTTGATATATTTAGAACATTGACATATGAAGTGATTATTAGTACAGTTAGATTAACATCTGCCATATTTATTACTGTTTTCTGTTTCTTTTATTCTTCCATTTACTTTTTCTTTTAGTCTTTCTTTTTCTGCTTTCTCTGGCTTTAATCGAGCATTTATATGATTACATTTTTTTCTCTCTTAGCATGTCAATTATGTATGTGTATATATATATATATATATATATATATATATATATATATATAATTTTTTATTTTTATTTTTTTGAGGCAGAGTCTTACTCTGTCACCCAGGGTGGAGTATAGTGGCCTGGTCTTGGCTCACTGCAACCTCTGCCTCCCAGGTTTAAGAGATTCTGCTGCCTCAGCCTCCTGAGTAGCTGGGACTATAGGCGCATGCTACCATACCCAGCTAATTTTTTGTATTTTTAGTAGAGACGGGGTTTCACCGTGTTAGCCAGGATGGTCTCAATCTCATCACCTCATTGTCTTTACTAAAAATATAAAAATTAGGCAGCTGTGATGGTGGGCACCTGTAATCCCAGCTACTCAGGAAGCTAAGGTAGGAGAATTGCTTGAACCTGGAAGACAGAGGATGCAGTGAGCTGAGATGGCACCATTGCACTCTAGCCTGGGTGACAACAGCAAGACTCCATCTCAAAAAGAAGTCTTTGCCCTTGAGTTTGGTATTTACAGTTACAACTAATCCAGTTCCACTTTGAAATGATGCTATACCACTTCATGGGTTGTGCACGTGTACCCAGGTTATCCTGACTGCCCTTTATGATATTGCTGTCAGTAATTTCACTTATTCATAAACTATAATCATTGAATACATTGTTGCTGGTTTGTTTTGTTGTTTGAGACAGGGTCTTGGTCTGTTGTCCAGGCTGGAATGGAATGGTGCGATCATAGTACACTGTGGCCTTGAACTCCAGGGCTCACATGATCCTCCTGCTTCAGCCCTCAAGTAGCTGAGACTATGGCTGTGTGCCACCATGCCTGGCTAATTTTTTAAAAATTTCTAGTAGAGATAGGACCTCACTGTGTTGCCCAGGCTGGTCATAAACTCCTGGTCTTAACACATTCTCCCACCTCAGCCTCCCAAAGTGTTGGGATTAACAGGTGTGAGGTACCCAGCTTTTCACAATATTGATAATAGAGTCAGAGCATCACTGTGTGGCCCAGGGTAGAGTGCAGTGGCTGTTCAGAAGTGCAGTCCCACTACTGATCAGTACAGGAGTTTTGACCTGCTTCATTTCTGACCTGGGTTTATTCACCCCTCCTTAGGCAACGTTGTGGCCCCTAAGGAGGGGAAGTGACCATTTTGATGCCAGACTTAGTGCGGACACTCAGTCCACACAGCCTAGAACTCTTGGACTCAAGCTATCCTGCCTCAGCCTCTTGAGTAGCTGGTCCTACAGGCATGCACCACCATGCCCAGCTATTGCTGTTATTATCTTGAACAAACTGTTATAAAATCAGTTGAGTAAGAAAAGTAAAGCATTTTGCCATTACTTATTTCTTCTCTAATGCTCTTCCTTTATGTAGGTCTTTATTTCTGACCTATATCATTTTCCTTCTTTCTTAAAAACTTAACATTTTTTGCAAGGCAGGTCTACTTGATGACAGATTCTCTTAATTTTTATTCATCGGAGAAAGTATTTATTTCTCTTTTGAAGGGTAATTTTACTGGATACAGATTTTTAGATTAGCAGGCTTTTTTCCCTTTCTTTCTTTCTTTTTTTTTATTGCATTGTAGGTTTGGGGGTACATGTGAAGAACATGCAAGATTGTTGCATAGGTACACACGTGGCAGTGTGATTTGCTGCTTTCCTCCCCTTCACCTATATCTGGCATTTCTCCCCATGCCATCTCTCCCCAACTCCTCACCCCCCACTGTCCCTCCCCTAATGCCCTCAACAGACTCCAGTGTGTGACGCTCCCCTCCCTGTGTCCATGTGTTCTCATTGTTCAACACTCGCCTATGAGTGAGAACATGCAGTGTTTGATTTTCTGCTCTTGTGTTAGTTTGCTAAGAATGATGGTTTACAGGTTCATCCATGTCCCTACAAAGGACACGAACTCATCGTTTTTGATGGCTGCATAATCTT